AAGTGAGTCTACTTAAAGAACTATTACAAGACGACATTTTACACACCGAGGTGCGGAAAAAAAAAAAAAAAAAAAAAACGAGATCAGGCACCCCTGAGTGATATAACATCATAATTTCCGGAGCAAATGTGATTGTCACTTCTCCCCTGCCAAAACAGGCCTGGGGAGAGCTTGCTTTCTGGGACCTCACAGAGACGGTTGGGATCTGCAAGCTTTTTCCATCCCATTCATTTTAGAGTTCCCTCTTGTATTCTTAAAATGTCAAATGGTTACAAAGAAGTCGGTGTTTTAAAATCTCCAGACCCATTTTTTTTCCAGGTTGAAATTCCCCTGCTTAAGAAACACATCTCAGGGCCTCCCTAATGGTGCAGGGGTTAAAGTCTCAGCACCATCAAGCTGTCGTCAGCCACTGAGGCTTGATTTTGATCCCTCGCCAGACAGTTAACCCATATGGCGCGGCAGACCTCTCCTGACCCGCCCGCTGCTCCCCTCAGCAGTGTATTTCAGTAGATCCACCTGTTCTGCTCCCCACTCTGTCTCGGTGCATCCTCTCTCACCCTCACCTCTAGCCTACACACCCCGCCCCCATGTCTTGTATGCATAAATTTAAAAAAAAAAATCTTGATGGAAAGGAACTCAAGCGGTTCCTCTCCCCAACTCTGTCCCTCCCAGAGGGGAGGTTTCCTTCGCCCTCTCCACGGGTCCAGAGTCACTGGCGAGGATAAAGGAAAGAATGCCAGTGCTCAGAGTTAGCATTAACTGTGATGTTGGAAAGTACTGGAGATGGTGCATGAGATGGTGGCATGGCCAGCCCAGAACTGGTTTTGAAGCCAAAACATGGCCAGGTCGCTAATTCTCACTCCCTCTCTCTCCCTGGGGGTTCTCCCAGAACCAGGCAGCGGGCAGGTGTTTGTGACTTCAGAAAACCAGCTGGTGTATTACCCCAGCATCACCTACGCCATCATCGGCAGCTCCGTCATCTTCGTGCTGGTGGTGGCCCTCCTGGCGCTGGTCCTGCACCACCAGCGCAAGCGGAACAACCTCATGACGCTGCCTGTGCACCGGCTGCAGCACCCCGTGCTGCTCTCCCGGCTGGTGGTCCTGGACCACCCCCACCACTGCAACGTGACCTACAACGTCAACAACGGCATCCAGTACGTGGCGAGCCAGGCCGAGCAGAACGCGTCGGACGTCGGCTCCCCACCCTCCTACTCAGAGGCACTGCTGGACCAAAGGTGCGTGCTGGACGGAGGAGAGAGGGGTGGGCGGAGGTGGGGAGCATTCATCCAGTTTGGGGAGGGGATGTGTGCACGCACCTGGAGCTTGAGGTTTTTCCACGAGTCTGCATTCAGCTGCTGGAGACACTGGCCACATCTGGCATTTGCTGAGTCCTTGCAAAACACCTCACTCACATCTCGACCACAGCGTTCTCGACCACTCACCAAAGGAGGTTATTTGACTCAGTTTTACAGATGAAGAAATAGGTACTGGGGCTTGAAGTTATGGCTGGTTCTTGAATAACCTTTTGCTCTAAGGTTGATGAGAAAAATGTTCCAGCTGATGTTGACCTTAACCACATTACTCCCCTTACACATCCTTCTGTGAAAATCATGGCTTCCAAGAACCTACCTAGGAGGCTAAATGAGGAGTATTTGTCTGAGCTCACTCCCTGGTAAGTCCACACTGGCCTTACCAGGTGTTAGGCCTCTGACTAGCTCTGGTGTCTCACCTGCTACCTCCAGACAGTGCCCAGAAAGTAGGGAGGTTTGGTTACTGTGTGGAGTGATAGATGGATAAGTGAATGAATGAATGAGCAAGTAAGTTCCTCAACTGCATGTGGCCTCATCTGTAAAATAAAGGTGAGAGAAGCGAGCCACCTGGAGCTTTAAGCAGTAGAGCTCTGTGACAGTGGAGTTGCCCGAGATATCCCAGTATACAAAAGTCAGGAAAGCAGAACTCTGGAGCAGGAGGTGAATCTGAATCCAACTGACCAGCCTGTCTGCCTCTTGTGTTGCCCACCTCAAAGATCCCATGTTAGAAGTCTCAGAGAGAGCCCCCTCTGAGTCCCCTTTGGCTCTCAGGCCCCTCTGCCCTGAGCAGTTCACCCCCCAACCCCCACCAAGGGCCCTGCCCAGCGTCACCATTGCTCTGAGCCCAGCACTTACTGTGTGGCCCGAAGCCTATCATAGGCTGTTCTCAGGGTGACTCTTCTAGGCTCTTCTCTGGAGGCAACTCTTATATCATTTAATCTTCATTTACTCTCCTCAGAAGGTGAGTGTAGCTTGGGGACAGTGCTTAACGATCTCTTCACAAATCAGTGTGAGGGCGCAGGTCTTCATCAGCCCTCATCACCTCGTCATTCAGACTCTCCAATATGGAGGAAGCTGAAATGCTGAATCTGAGGACAAAGTACCTGGGTTCAAGTCCCGGCACTGCTGCTTACTAGTGAACTGGGATCCCTGTGCAGTCACTGACTATACCCTTGCCTCAGTTTCCTCCCAAGCACAGCCTAAAAGTAATGGCTCCTACTTAGCATCCTTGGGTGGCTTCAATAAGGGCATTACCGTGAGGCACGTGGCACAGTGCTGACTCAGAAGCTGTCTGTGGTAGCTGAAAAACAGAACATCCTCTGCTATTTCATTGCCATCAGGGTGTTTCTACTACCCCATTCTGCAGCTACAGAGACTGAGGCCTCGAGAGGCTGCCCTCTCGCAGTGCCAAGTCCACATAGCCAGGATGAGGTGGCTTTCCCTAAGAACCTCGCATTCTGTGGGCCATGAGAGGCTCCATCAAAACAGCAACCCAGCCTCTTGGCCACCCTAGCTGCAGGAGCCAAGCAGCCCTGCCAAACCACCCAGGATGTTCCCAGGGACCCTTTGTCTTGTTGCAAACTGCTGCTTCTCGGGGTGCTGGATTGCCTTTGTCCTCGGAGGGAAAATCTCATCACTCACATCAGCATCCGCTCAGCAACAGGCACGAGCTGGCTGAGCTTCCTTGCCTGGGCTCTAACGTGTTCTCTTCTTTCTCCTCTCCCTCGCCTCCGGCACCCACCCTGCTTTCTCCGTGCAGACCCGCGTGGTACGACCTTCCTCCACCACCCTACTCTTCAGACACGGAGTCCCTGAACCAAGCCGACCTGCCCCCTTACCGCTCCAGGTCTGGGAGTGCCGAGAGCGCCAGCTCCCAGGCAGCCAGCAGCCTCCTGAGTGTGGAAGACAGGGGCCACAGCCCAGGGCAGCCTGGCCCTGCAGAGGGCGCCCCCGGGCCCAGGGACTCCGTGCCCAGCCAGGGTGCTGAAGTATAAGATCCAGTTATTCCAAAGTCCATGTGGGTTAATCTGCTCTGACTGGTTGCCGTCCAACAACTCGTGCTCATGGGAAGCTCCTCAGGGTGCTGCAAGGAGTGATTTGGGGTGTCTCTCCACTTTCTTCCTCCCCCAGATGTCAGGGATGTTCTTTGGAGGGTGACCTGGCATTTTGCTGCTCTCTCAGTTGACATGATGGATGGTGCATCTCTGCTGGGAGATCAGCTTTCCTTCGGGGCCCCTGGTCACAGCCTCACACATCCCATCATTCTTCTGTTACTGTTGGAATCTTGCTGAGTAAGCGACATAAAGTGGCAGGCAGTTGGATAAAAAGGTGTTTAAGTGGCCTTAGAGAAAGCAGCGTTTCTGGGCGTTGTTGCATGTTCAGAGGGGCAGAAGCACTGTGGGCCGCTACTTTCTGGGGCTACCTTCTCCCTCCATTTGGGGATATGGATGGATGAGCCTACAGGAGGCAGGCACGGGCTAGCCATGGTCAGCATTCAGACCTGCCTGCCCCAGCCTGTCCATACATTGCTCTCAACTCAGCCATGACAGCAGCCAAAGAAAACGGGTATGAGTTAACGCCCTTTCGTGCCTGGCAGTGTTGTGAATGACCCTGAAACCACCTACTCTGGATCCAGGCTTTGAAAATTTGACCCATGAATCCTCTTTTCAAGAACTTTCCCCTGGCTTTGGATAGCATCAGCCTCATCCCAGATCAGACAGAGGACCCCCACTGCAAGTTTCCCCGAATTCTCAGCTTCTGAAGTGCAGGCTGCCAAAAAGTCTAGTCAGCGTTGGTCCTCCCCTGGTTTCTGAATTGTTTCGTCCCAGCTGACCTGGCTGTAACCAAAGGCTGAGGACCCAACTTGAGTTGGCCAAAAATCTGATCTGACCCCTGGTTTCTGGAACCACACCCAGCTGCACTCCTGTGCTCGCCTCCCAGGACCCCTCAATACTCAGAATTTTCTCTTATCTGTGCCTTTGGACTTGAGGACACTGTGATCTCCAACACCTGAGAGAACCATATTCATTGCCTCCTGCTGCCTGTGCTGCCCACACTCCCCTGCCCAAAACCCACACGCCAGCACCCTCATTTAGGGTTAGGGTCAGGTTAGAGTTTCTCCTCAGAGATGTGGACAAGAGACACCTTAGAGTCAAGATTTGCCATTCGGACTTTTTTTTTTTTTAATCTCTTAGAAATGCATTTGAAACAGTGTGTTTGTTTTTTCCCTTCTAGTTAAGGGACTATTTATATGTGTATAGGAAAGCTGTCTTTTGTTGTTTTGCCTTTAGTGAGGTCCAAAGAAAGATGCAAAAGGAGACCACGCCGTGTCTCATGGAGCGCGCAGGACCCGCCACCCATTACGGCTCTGTGCCATTGCACTGGGCGTTATTATTTATGGAGCTCTCGGAGGATGCAGAGGAGGGACATCTTCCCCCTCGGCCCATGGTCTCTGCTGTGCTAGCCTCCTCTGTCCAGCCAGCCACAGGGCCCCACCTTCTTGGGAAATAATTGGTAGGAATGTAGGTGTTTAGGGGACTAGAATGCACCCCTAGTGTCGGAGGACAGAACTGGACCCAGACGCTGCCTCTGCAGGCAACTCTCGCCCATCCAGGGCTTCTTCCTGCAGCAGAAGGACTTCTCAATGACCTCTTTGATGCTAACTCAAGTGGAGCGTGCAGGAGGGGAATGAATGACATTCAATGATCCTGTTCTGCAGACTTTTTTTTTTAACCGAATCCAAAGTATGTTACAGGAAAAGCAAGCAACTTGGTGATTTTTTTTTTTAAGTAAATAAAAGCTAGTAACTTGGATCTTTCACTCTTCAAAGAAGGCTTGAGTTGATTGCTGAGTAATCCAATAAAGAAGGAACTTGAGATGGCAGCCAGAGTGGGTTAGAAGCGCTAGTTGAGCATTTCATTTCCTGTGAGTCAGAATGGCTTCATTTCTCCCTTTGATGGGCCCTGCTTCTTTCTGGTGCTCTGAAAGTTGTTCAGAGGGAAGGAGTCTAATTTTAATTAATTGTGTGGTGAATTAATCTCACACACTCTTCTGCTTCCAGGCATCTTAGGAAAAACAAATGGTCTTTGTAGATAAGGGGAGCCTATTCATGTTTTTTAAAAACAAACACAGGGACATTTTTATTACAGATTTGATTTTTTTAATGAATATTTTTTAAAAATATATAAATAGGACACCAAAGCTGCAGAGGTTTTTTGTTTTGTTTTGTTTTGTTTTGTTTTCCCCCTTCTCAAGATGACAAAGAAGTAGCCAGCAATATTTTTTAACTCATTCCAGCCAGCATGATTTTTTATACATGACCTAAATTGTATGCCAACTGGAAAACCCACTCTGCTCTCTTTCCTCAAATGAGATCGGTGAGTCCTTTTCATTTATCATTCAAATAGTTTCACTGCAACCAGTAGCTTATCACCTGACCCAACTCCCTCTACTTTGAGTGGACATTATTTTTAAATTGCAACTAAGTGGTTAATAAATATTGTGCGAAGTTCCAAGCTGATGTAAACTGGAAAGGTTGTGTGTGGTTGCTTTTGGTTTTGGTTAGGTTTTGTTTTGTTTTTTAATTTTTATACTTTCAAATAAACTTGCAGTTTCATTCTTTCCATGGGTGTTGAATGGTTCTTTCTGTCATAATTTCTGCCGTTGTGTACACCATAATAAAGGGGAGGCTTCAAGACGAGAGCTCACTGTGAGATAGGCACCTAAGAATCCCAAGTTGGGGTGGTTGGAATATGGAGGTGAAGTCTTGGACACTGTTAGTGTCGTGAGACCTGGGATATCAATTCAGAAGATGGGCGTGACTTGCCATCATACCTGCATCCTCTGATAATATGTATTCAGGGGTACTCTCCTGCTCGTGGACAGAGTGCTGACCATTATTCTTGTTGAACATAAACGGCTCACATTTGACTCCACCACGTGATGGGAACAACTATCTGCTCTTCTTAATCTCATTTTGGAACCTGTGTTGACTGATGGCACAGGAACAGTTATACAGGAATTTGGGATGTCTTGGAGGTCACCGCCACCATCAGGCTCCACCCACAGAGTAGACAAGTTACCTTGGCTTTGGCCAAAAGCCACATGAATTTCTAAATGCAGGATCTACAAGACCAAGATTTAGATCACCTGTTCATTCCTGTGTGTCTCAGGAGACTAAGCTATCAGACTGTGGTCCCCCAAGTAAATGCCTGGTCATGCCCTGCTCCAAATGGTCTAGGCCAGCCCATCCCATGACGCTGTCTGCTCCTAAAGGTTTGTCGAGATTTTACTTCCTTCATCTGTTAAAGAGTACCATTTTTTATTTTTGTGGATGTTATAAAGAAGAAATAGTTGAGAAGTGCCAATCAAGAGCAAAGGTCGTTCAATGTTTTTGTGTAAATGGCCACACAAACTTAACTCTGTGGCCATATGGTCTTGATAGCAACTAAAAAAGCAACTATTAATACATGTAAATGAACAAGTGTAGCTATGTTCCAAGAAAGCAAATTACAAGAATAGGCAGCAGGCTGAATTTGACCATGTCTGTAGTTTTTCAGCCCCGGATACAAAAGGTTATCCCTACATTGGATCATGGGTCCCAAACTAAGGACATTGTAGAAATTGTGTGTTAATGGCTGGGGCTGTGAGAACCCTTGAAATGGCACCAACCGCCCCCCCCCCAAATATTAACAGCGAAAGAATTTGCAGAGCACACAGTTCAGTAGCCTATGAAATGAATTTTAATGGACTCTATTAGCTCCTTTCCAGTGAATAAGAAAACACAGGATTAAGATGAGTAGAGGATTTCTCAGTGAGGTTCTGAACAAGTGCAAGTCAAGACCTTGCTCTCACTATGATTCCTTTAAGATGATAAATTGCACAACAGTCTGTCTTTCAGAGAGAAATCCTAGAGATAAGTGATCTGAGAGGTAATGGTCATCTCCATCTGTCACTCCCAGGCAAGAACGTAGATTCAGAAAGTAAAATCTAAGAAAGAAGGAGCTTCAGCATGCAGTGGAAGCGTGATAAGTGTTCATAAGGAAAAGAAATGCACCCGGTGAGACCCTCAGGGAAAATGTCAGTGAGAAAATACGCTCACTCCCTTGACACCTTCCCCTAAATAAGTCCATGGGAACCTTATTAGTAACCCCCCTCCCCTGTTGTAGATGATAGATACCCAACTCAAACCTAATTACATCAAATTTTAGAGGATGCCTTTCACTTATGCTTCCAAGCCAAGGAGTTGGCTTCAGGCAGGAGTTGATGTCGTTGCACAACATATGTGATTAGGAATCTGTTTCTCCCTCTCAATTTTGAAACTTGCTTTGCCCAGTGTTGGTTTCATGACTTTACATCCATTAGATTGAAAAGGATCTCCAGAAGACCCAGGTTCATGACCTCAGAAAAAGATACTGTCTCCTCAAGGGTCTATAGACGTTTCATAATGGACTTGTGATTGATCATCTTTGGTCATGTGAGCACAACAAAGAGCATGAGAGAGACCGTTCCCATATGGAAGTTGCTGGTAGTGGACAAAATACCAATATGTCTACTCTAGTACCTAACCAAGGAATAAGACACACAACTGACGGGCATATATAGACAAAACTAGCATACAACTACGAACTTGAGGCATCGAGCCAGATCTAAGAGAGCAGAGGCAATGTTACAGGGAAAATTTCAAGACTCCACAGCCCCTCTCTGAACCTGGGCCAGGCGAGATCAGTTTCAAGCTGCAGGTATATTGGATGTAAACTGAGTGTGCAGTTATGAGATGGTCATCTAGGATTCTTACACAAAACATGGATCAAGCCATCTACAAAGAGTTCTACGCTAAAGAAACTATCTCATGGGCTCCAGAACTGTCTGCAAACCAACTGAATGTGCTAAAATAGGTACATTCTGCATGTGGAAAACTACAAGGAGTCGTTCCTAACTTGCACAGGATTTTTAAATTGATAGGTAAGATAGATTGCCATTTTTCACCCATTTTTTTTTAAGATTTATTTATTTATTTGTACAGAACTGGGGTACAGGCCAGAGATGCGGAGAGTGAGAGGCTTCACCAGAGACAGAGCGGGAAGCAGAACAGGCAAATCGACGAAGTACACTGCTGAGGGGAGCAGCGGGCGGGCCAGGAGAAGTCTGCCTCGCCATGTGGTCACCTCCGGGGCAGGCAGGGATCGAACTCATGCGGAAGTGGCTCTAGCTTCTTAGTGCTATGCTTTAACCCGCTGCGCCACCAGGGAGGGCCTTTCACCCAATTTTTTAAAAAGGTTTATTTATGCATACAGAAATGGGATACAGGCCAGGGGGGGCGGGGCTTGAGAGAATTCACCAGAGACAGCTTGGGGAGCATAACAGGCAGATTGATGAAGTACACTGCTGATGGGGAGCAGCGGGCAGGTCAGAAGAGATCTGCCATGCCATATGGGTCACCTCCAGAGCCGAGGATTGAACTTGCACTGAGGTGGCTGCAGCTAGCTTCAGCAGTGTTGTGCTCCAACATGCTGTGCCACCAGGGAGGACCTTTTTCACCCTTTCAAACCACCCAAAGTCTTAGTCTAAATATGCATTCTGTTCACGAGGTTTCCACAGTTAACAGTTAACCCTTTTCCTCCTAAGAGCTAGGCTGCAGCAACCTCATAAAGAAGCATCGGAGTTGAGATGGTGCTCAAATGCACTGGCTCTTGGGGTTTGGGGGAAGAGGGTTCTTGTGGTGAACTGCATGAAGTATAACTCATTTGTAAAGATGCTTGAACCAGACCGTGTGGGAGTGTGTTCCTGACGTACCAGTCTGTGAATAGGCCAAGAGCACACACACAAGCATGCTGATAAGCTTCCTAGCAGCACATAACTCTGGAGCCGGTAGCATCCTCAGGTGAGAGATGAAAAATTAATAATTTTGCTCAGACAGAGGAAGTCACAGAGACATTATAGACAGAAGAAGCGGTTGGCTTTCTTGCAATTGAAAAACTACTTAAGTCTCTCCTCCCTCCAGCTGGAATCAGTTGCCAGGTAATGACTGACTGAGGGTCTTGACCCCACCTGCTGACTTGGCTTAAATTTGGTAAGTGACTCGTGAAAATCATGTTTGTGTTTGCCTCGTGTGTGCACTGGGACCAGTCAGAAACACTAAGAATAACAGGAGGAAGGGATTAAATATGGAAATTAGGGCCAACTACAGCTGCAGGGCATGGAAACCTCCAGGTGGAAGACCCCAAACATAGTTAACAAAGATGTAGCTTGAGCCTGGGACAAGTGGGGAAACCAGAGCTTGCAAGGAATGCCGAGAAGTCCTCCACATTCACTCCAAGTGCTGCTGCAACCAGTGGCTTACAGAGAGGACTACTAATCGTGAGTCTGATCGCTCCCAACCCCCTCAGAGTAACTGCTGCTGCGTTTCTGCCTTTGAAATTTCACATGGGCTCTTCTCAACGGCACATTCAGCCCTAGAACCATACAGGGAAGTATGTGCCCCAGCCTTAGTGGAGTTCAGAGCCAACAGGCATTGAGTCCACTGTGCCAGGCACCGTGACCTTGAGCCACGCGGTGGTCTCTGGAACACACGCTCCATGCTCCAGGTGAGCATCTACTCTGATCATGTAGCAACAAGTGTAGGAGCCCATAGTGGGACAACCAGGCATAGGGTGGGCAGACAGGGTGGCCGGGGGTCAGGGAGCCAGCTGGCCTCACAGCCCCTGGCAAATGTGTAGTCTTTTCTCACTAGACCCCAGCATTCTCTCATGGTCTCTCTCTTATACAGGAGCTCATCTTCTCATAGCTGTTCCACGGTAGCCATCCTTGGTCACTGAGTGACCCGTCCTATTGCCTCAGCCTCCAGGCCCAGGTGTGCCCACTTACACATGCCCACGCCATACTCCAGGTGTCCACCATCAGGCACGCAGGGTGCCCCAAGCCCACACTCCCAAATGCTGCCTGCATTCAAGGCATAAAAACCCAGTGAATCTCACTTACCCTCGAGGCCCTAATTTCTTTGTGTGTAAAGAAGATAGCAAATTTCACGTTTAGAGTTTTCTAGACATGCCCAGTAATGGGAGTGCATGGTTTTCAAACTGGGCTGATTGCATAACAGGGAGGCTGTCCAGACAATTTGTGTTGAAGTAGGCATAGCTTTGGAGTTACCTTTATTAATGATTGGTTTTGTCACTGAC